TTGTTTATTCATTCATCATTTTGTGGGCAACTAAGTTTCCATTTTTCAGCTACTATGAATAATGTGTACTATTTTAGATTCCTACCAGAAAGTGAGAGTTCCATTTCCCCCATGTCATTGCTATCATTGATTATGGTCTGTCTTTAAAATTATTGCCATATTTATGGGCACGAAGCAGTATTTTATTGTAGTTTTGTTTATTTCCCTAATAACTGGTGATGCTGGTAATGTATTAGTGAATTATTTATTATTGAAACTTTGTGTCATGCATTCATTCACTCCACAAATGTTGGAGTACTTTCTATATGGCAGTCCTTAGAAAAGAAGTGATACTATAAATGTCACTGTGGACCGAATGCTAATAGTTGGTGGGCTTGTTAGTGAGAAGATCAGCAAATTCTGTTTTGATTGCTTTCATTTTCTCATAGAAATGAATAAGCAATATTGATTGGCTAAGACAGATATTGATGTTAAGTGAGGAATGAAATATATTAGGACCAAAGGAGAAAAAAATCACAACTAATAAGACTTCAGTAAATCTAATATATATTTTATTTACTCTAAAAATTAATATGAATATATCATGCATCAAAATATAAAAAGAATAACAAAATGAATATCTAGTATGTACAACTGAAGAATAATTTATTATTGATGTAGCTGAAAGCTTTGTGTAACTGTACCTGATAATAGCCAACCTCATCCTATACTCAATTTTATTATCTTGCTTTTTTCTTTGTTGTTTGACTACATGTATGCATGTATGCACATACATATTCCTGAGAGATTGTTCTTTAGTTTTGTATGGTTTTGAACTTTGTACAAATGGTGTCGTACTGCAAGCATGTTTCTTCAAGTTACTCTTTCCCAAAAAAATGATGCTACAAATGCTGGTTTATACATTCCCTTGCCTGCATAAGCAATAGCTGTCTTCTCTTAGGTACAGAATTAGAAGCTCACTTTCTTGGCACTCTGTCATGTGCATTTTTATCTTTACTACATAATTCAGCATTTTTCTTTGTGAAGTTTATAGTAATTTACATATGATTCAACAGTTTGTAATATTTTCTTTACTTCTGATTCCTGCCAACACTGTCTGCCATCCATTTTAATGAAAGGTAGCTTCTACTGCACTCACTTACCAAGGTTATCATTTTCAGCAAAGTTGAATGCCTGCTCATTTCTTTTGCCCAATTTTTTTTACCCAGCTATTTTTCTTTTGATTTTTGTGAGTTTATTATGCATTTTGGATGGCAAAGTCGGTTATCTGCCTCGATCTGATTCACTTATCCTGAGCTTTTTTTAAATAGTGCTCATTATTAATAAATATTTTAATATTAGCTTGTAATATTAGTGTTTTGTTAAATCCATTTCCACTTGGACTTATAAAATTACTGCCTTTTTTTTTTCAAATTTTTTTCATATTTAGATCTTCCATCCACCTGCAATTATTACTATCTTTTAGTAGGGCAAAAAGTTGGAAGATACTGTCTCCATTATAGATAACTTTCTTAGAATCATTTACTGAGAAGTTCATTATTTATCCTTCTGTATGCATGTTGCTTCTGTCTCAAATCATTGCCAAGCCCATGTTTGCCTGCCCCATCTGCTTGGGATTTGTGGTAAGGGAGAGTGTCCTGGTCGGGAAGACATGATAGAGAAAAGCTGCTCTCCTAGTGGTGGCTGGGAAGCAAAGAGAGGGGAAGAAAGCCATCAGTGAGAATGACCTAACTTCCTTCCAGCAGGTCCCACCTCCTAAAGGATCTACTGTCCCACAACAACAACAAAGGCTAGTAACAAATCCTGTGAGTCATAGCCCCTAGGAACATTTAAGATCCAAATGATAACAGAATTTAGCTCGTGGTCAGAGCAGTTGAATTCACTGTGAGTTAGGCAAGGGAGCAACCTTCTTGGTGAGAGCTAATCTGGGATACAGTAACTAGTTCCTATATATGTGAGCTTGTTGCCGATGGACTGCACTAAGCAAATCTGTGACCTTTAGCAGAATTTCTCACTAAAAAATGTTTTGCTCCATAAATTTAAATGTGCTTGCTTAAGAACCTCAATATCTAGGGAACTCTAACCTGGAAAGGGGAAACATAATGTAGTTTTATATTTCTAAAGGTTAATTCTGATTTGCAAAAATTATCTGAGAAATTTTAAATTATTTGTTTACCATGTGCTTAAGATATTTTTTAAAACACTGTGTGTTCATGTGCATCTTTACATTTATTTTACGAGATACTAATGTTTGTAGTCTTGTACGTGTAGCATTGAGAATCGCTCTCTTCACTTTGAGAGGGATAGATGGAAAGATTCTTGCTTAGCTTAATGAAATCTAAATAATACAGCCAAAGATAAGCCTGCTATTTTAACCTACATGAGAGTAGACTAGATTCAAGGATTTTCAGAGAGACACAACACTTTTTAAAAGAGAAATTATTCTTTGCTTCCTCTTTCATGAAAACTATCATATGAAAAAGTTTGTGCAGAAACATAAAAGTAGGAGAGTCCTATTTTTTCACTCATAAGCATTGACTTTCTAACCCCCCTGACCTTGTTTGCAGCTCTTTGGTTGCCTTGCTTCTGGGCTTTTTCTTACTAAATTTCTGCCCCCGGTTGGAGTTAAACATCTTGAACATCAAACCATTTATCCTTCACTCTGTGCTCTACTTTGCAACAGCAATGGTGTCTATCATTTTATTTAACTTCGCAGTAAGCAATCAAGGAGTTACTTCTGATTCTCTGCAGTTCTCAACTCTTTTTTATCATACCTAACTCTAAATCGCATTTCATTTCTTTTTGTTTACACCGCCTAAATCCACTCATTCCTGTTGTTTCAGTGGTTAGTTTTTTTGTACCACTTCTTATGCTGTTGTTGAATTTAGAGCAAGACAAACCTCCAAGCTCAATTCTATACCATTATATAGATAAGATTAATCGCATTCAATTAATTATCCAACCTCTCCGGTACTTTATGAAATAAAACTTTATACAGTAAAAACCCACATCAATTCCCTGTTGTTCTTCCTCTGCCTATACTGACAACCAAACATCTGTTCTTACCCAACCTGAGCAATTTGGGCAATTCTGTTTACCATTTTATTTCCAGATATATCACATATATAGAAATGGTTTGAATTGGGTCTATGTCCTTAACTAACTATATGTAGCATATACTCAGAATTTTATAGTTTTATTATGTTGCATACTGACATATTTGATACAATAAATTTTATAATTCTCATCACTTCCACTTTACAATTAGAGAAAATGATATTCAAATAATAACATTTTCAAGAAAAATAGGTCAAAAAGGATTCTGGAGCTGTAAATATGTTCATAATTTTTTTTTATTCCAAAGCAAGTCTTTGCCTTAATCTATTTTTAAAAATAAACATAGAATTAATTATATTTTAATCTATAAATTTATAGATTTAAATATGCATTACCATTTAAATTCTAATTACTTTTCTTCAAATTCTATTAAATTGTGGCAGATGAATATGTCTTTTCAATTATTTCAAAACATTAAATTGATTTGACAATTTCACAGCTGAAATTCACTGGAATTCTTCATTATCTTGACTCAGAATTTGTCGTTGAAATTTATTGTCGTAAAAACACTCATATACAGTTTACCTGCTATATTTTCATGTAGGTTTAAATAATATTAAGATATCCAACTTGTCATCATTTAGAGAAATGCTTATCAAGTATGATTTAGTTATATTTTGTGTTGTTTTTTATATTGTGTTTATATATTAATTATTTATTACATTTATGTATTATGATGTTATGTTTGTATTGAACTGTATATTGAATTCATATAATGCTTTTGTAAATTGTAATGATTCAGAACACCACATCCAAATTCTTAAGTATTTGTTTAAGGCTTTTTATACCAAAGCTTTTCCCTAAACATATTTTAAGCAACTCATGTGTTTCTCAGATCGAGGTATTTTTGAAAAGACCAGATAAGTACATATCCATTGTATAATTGAAAAGATATGAAAACACTTAAAATCATCTGTGGTTCCTACATAAGGATAAAACCTTTATTAAATTTTGTTCTTATTCATTATTACCATGGAATATCAGTTATGTACAATACCAAGTGTACATAAATGTTAGAGAAAGAATAAGTTTATGAATTAAGGAATGAATAGTATAAATAAACCCATACGATTTTTGAACAAAATTTAGCCCACACTATAGATAATGCTACTTAACTTGTTTTTGCACCCAGTAGACCCTTAGAAATCACATGTATTCAGTGTTCTGAATACCATTTTCATAGCTACATCATAGCCAGGTTGTATAATTGAGTCACCTCACTTCGGTTTTGTAAAAAGAGACTAACATTTTCGCATTAGTGTGACATACAAGTTGCTGATAATTTCTTTACCTCAGACCTTTACTGGATCCTTGTAAGTTTAAAATGCCTCCCAGGGGCTGGGGATTTAGCTCAGCAGCAAAAGCGCCTGCCTGACAAGCGCAAGGTCGTGAGTTCGGTTCCTGGTCCCAGAGAAAAACCAAAAAAATAAAAAAAATAAAATAAAATGCCTCCCATTTGAAGATAATTCAAACATCTGCACCTATCTCTTCTTGCTTTTGTCTCTCGGTGCCAACCCAGTTTCCTGCAGAGAAGCTATAGTATTTACCGCATTCTTTAACTTTGTGGGTCTCATTGCAGCTTCTCCTTCCCAACATAGATAGTAGTTTCACTCTTCCTTCCTGAGAACACACATGTAACCTTCCATAGCAAATTGCAGGGTTTCACTCCTAGGTCGCAGTGACCTTTGGGAACTAGCATAACTCACACATGGTAGAACAAGTCATTGTGTAGATACAGAGAGAACTGAAGTTTCACATCAAGCCCAAGAGAAAAAAATGTTTTAGATTGAGTGGGCAGTCACAACTTTAGATAAGGTTATTTTCCTGCTGTGTATTAACAAGAAAAAGCAATTTAAGGCAGCACATTCTTTTCTCCCCTTCAGGAAACAGTGGCTTTTAATTCTTCTCTTCTGAGGCCTCGTGTGATTGGAGAATGGATTGGTAGAGAAGAAAATGATGCTGATCCACTGGCTGCTGAAATGCTGCAGCCCCCAGTTCCAAGAAGTAAAAACGATCAGTGGGAAAGTGAAGACAGTGGCTCTAGTGCTGCAGGAAGGTGAGATGAGCTGTCTTCCAGTACTCTATTTCAGTCATTAAAAGGGAAAGTAAAACTAAGCACATGATCTTGATGAAATCCATGATAGTAATTTTACATATGAAATTGATTGACTCCACAGTGGATAAAGAATAGCTAAATTTAACCATTCTACAATGGTTAAATTGGTTAAAGTTCAAAACATCATGGTGTACACTGTAGATATAATTTTATCTGTCCATTAAAAACTTAATTACTATTTTTAAATTAGAGTGTTACTGTACTACTGTACTTGCCTGTGGGTTTTTGTTTGATTGTTTTCTTAACATTAGGAGGTTACCATCTTTTTGCTACTAAAACCAGTGCAGAAGTAATTCCAAGGTCATAGACTGTAGGTCAGGACTGACTATTATTGGGAAGCAAGTGGCTAGCTGTTAAGAATTAGAGAGTGGGGACTTCTGCTATCCTAAAAAGATGTAGCTAGTCATTGCAAAAACTACTAAATGTATAATGAGTGGACTCTAAGAGGGAGAGTTTATGTGGAATATAAAGAAAGACAAATCTTGGTTTACAGCTATTTAAGTTTATAGTAGAGACCTATGAACATTATTTATTTGGATTTTCTCTTTAATGTTTTAAACTATTATGATATACGAACTAAGAAGCACACATAACTGATTTCACTCAGCCCTGATGTTTAAAATGGTGAGAGACTGGTCTTAGCATCTATACACTGGTAGACACGAAGTACAGTAATGTTAAAATGTCCAGATCATATTTATTAGAAAAAGTATATTCTTTATTCACCATCTTTTGTCAATAGCAACTATAATGAATACAACTCAAAATAAAAAATGGAAACTTCAGGGAAATTGGGATGAAATGCATTTTGGGAGTTTTATCTTAAACAGGATCAGAAAATGGACTTACATACTCATGAATTAAAATGTGACAGGAACATAAATTTTCTCTGACTTTTATTAGCCAACCACCACGGAAGACTTTTCTCTCCATGCTGTAGCTATAGTAAGTTCGTATTTCCCATATTGAATTTAGCCCCAACCAATAACTTATTTTTTCCTCAAAGAGAAAATTGTACTTCTACAATGTAATAACTTTCAGAGATTCTATCCTTTGACTTATCTCTTGGCTGGAGGGGAAGAAGTTGAGAATACTCATTAGTGTGCTTGAGGCATCTATAAAACTGATTCAATTTCCATGAGAAATAACTTTTAAATTATTTAAATAGTTTTTTAAAAATCCAGTTATCTTCTTTTGTGAAATGCCAGATCAATTTCACCTGCCAATGAAAGTAATTTTATTTTTAACACCAGACTTATAAAGCCCAGTAGACCTTTATCTTTAGGCATTGTTCGATCTTTCATTCTGAAATATAAAATAGAGAAATGTCAACTTTCATTTACTCTTAATAATAATCATAGCTATTTACTGCAAATGTCGGTGGTTTTACTTTCTTCCTAGCTTCAGTGAGTTTTCATTCTTTGTAGAATACTCAATAAAAGTGAATTCTTTCTGCAATCCTAGTTGAATCCTTTACTCAGACAATTCAATCCACAAAATTCTTCCCCAAATATATTTCTTGAAAGATTGTTTCATCATTATTTTTCTCTGTCTTTAAATTACGGGCTGATATATTATCTCTGACATGAAAAAGTGGTAATATCCTACCTAGATGCCTCATTAATCAGAAAAATACGTGTGTATCTGAATTAAATGTAGAGAAGAGTGTTAAACTATGAGTTAGAGATTATATTCCTCCTATATTTTAAAACAAAACAAGATTCCTGGCCTACTACAAATAACTCACATAACATTAGATTTGATTTGGATGAATTAGGGTTAGAAATTTTAAATGGCACTAGAGTCTATACCTTTTAGCTTTTATGTTTAAATAGTAATGAACTTGTATTATAATTTAACAGTCTTAAACATTAACATAACAAGTGATTTTCTAGACCTTTCAAATAATTGATTCTCAACTTTGATTTTTAAGCCTGAATTTATCCAATTTTCTTTCCTAATTGGGGCTGATACATGGTTGTTATCAACCAGCATCTTGTAGGAGGCATGGCTGTTATGAGATACCTGCTAAGAAATGCATATTCACAAGACTGTATATGCTAATTTGTTTTAGTTATACTATGAGTTTCTCTTAATTCACTGAAAGTTTTGTCTGTGTCTTGTACTCCGATTATTTTGAATATGATACAATATATTAACTATTGTCATTCTTTTATTATTTTGTTATGAAATTGTGTTTTATTTTTCCTAAAACAAAAAAAAAATTAAATAATGAGGACCCTAAAAAAGGACTGGTTATAGTCTATCTGTATTTTTCACCCATCTTGTTTTTTTGTTTGTTTGTTTTTTTGTTTTTTTTTTGGTTTTTCTCCGGTACCGGGAACCGAACTCACGACCTTGCGCTTGCCAGGCAGGCGCTTTTGCCGCTGAGCTAAATCCCCAGCCCCTTTTCACCCATTTTGCTAACTTGGTTTTTTCTATTGTTTATTGTTTTAAGTCTTATCTGAATAGTTGCTTTGAGAATAGTCAGTCTTTAGTACATAGCCACATTTACCGCTCATGCAGAATTATACATATGTGATAGGCTAATATAATAACCCTGAGTCTTTTGAGCATAAACTTACCTAAATCATTTTCCTGGAACGATTTTTTAGAGCAACATATTCTATCTGAACTTTTTCTTGCCTAATGCTCCCAGTACAAGGTTGTGTAGAGAGGGTCAATAACTTTGGTATATACAGCTGAAACTTAAGGGGTTTCATGCTAACTAACATGGAGGAAATCTGGAGCACAATATAGAGAAGCTAATGGTATAAGCCAAGAGCTGCTAATATGAAGCCCGTGATCCCTAGATGATCTCTGGAAAGGACGCAAGAGATCTGTGAATCTATGGGAATCACAGACAAAATGTTGTATGTGTTGTCATGGACATTTTCCTGCCATATCTGTTTTAGATTCCCAAATAAGTTCAGAGTTAGGAGAGCTTCAGAAAGAAAGTGAAGCATCTGAGCAAGAAAAGGAAGAGGGGCTCATAAAAGGGAGAGATAAGTATGTTGGGAAATTATTGAAGGCTTTCTGTTTGTGAGACACCACCTGCTCACATCAGTTGCTATAGTTTTGTACAGAGCTGGTGGGGAAACATACACTCATTGTATATTTAAAGTTATAAGAAACAACCACACATTTATAATATAAATGTAAACAAATACTATGTTTAATAAACCTATATAATCTTACTTTAAGCTATCTTAATTAGACTTTGCAATAGCTGTGTAATGAATTTCCTATAATTACCAGCTAAATCTTAAATGTGAATCTGTAAATAAGCTCATCAAGCCTTGAAAACCTAATAAGACTCCTTTAAATCTGAACAACCTTATTAAAGTAAGAATTTTAGAGGCTGGAGATTTAGCTCAGCGGCACAGTGCCTGCCTGGCAAGCGGAAGGTCATGAGTTCGATTCCCGGTACCAGAAAAAAAAAAAACAAACAAACAAAAAAATAAAGTAAGAATTTTATCTATAAATATGATAGATCTAGAGTGAATCAGCTTTGTTAACTGAGCATTGTTTGAGGTTGTAAATGTGCCATAAAATTAATAGAAATATTATCATTTAGAAATAAATATTAAATATTGAAATACAAGTCAAATTCACTTCCTGTTAAGAAGTTTTCTCTTTCACTAAAGCACAACTTTCTTCTGATTTGTTAGTGAACAAAGCCTGGAAATATTTCCTTTCCAAGGAGAGGCAAACAATAAACAAGTGAATATACAAATATACAAATATATGCTATAAATTCAAGTAATGATGGATGGTATGATGGAAAATAAGTTAGAATAAAGAAAGAAAATGTATTAAAGATGGGTTACTCTTTTACATATGAACTCCAAGAACAATAACAAAAAAGCCCACCTAATTTCATCATGTCTTGGTTATTGTAGTCATGACAGAAAATGTATAAAGCATATTGCAGAGATAAAGTTAAATTAAATAGCTTAGGGATGCTCTAACATGAGCAACTAAAGAACAGAATCCTTAAAAAATCTAAAAAATATACAAATTTATACCTCATGACAAATTATTTTAAAATCAATAAATATATCACACATTTATTTCAGCACATCTATGTAGAGTATTAAAATTCAAATAATTACATGAAACCCAGTACTAGTTATAGCTGAACTCCATGTCTATTAGACAAGCATCATTTGGGGCTAAATCTATATTCAGGTCTTCCAGCCCTCAGATATAGTGATGATTAAGCCACAAATTTTAATCGGACAAAAGAAAACACTTGCTTCAACCCTCATGGAATCGCATTGCTCATTGTGGGTTGAGGAGTAGGAATTATGCATTTATGATCCATTATTTGTTCATCATCTCTCACATTCATATCTACATTTTTTTCTATTTCAGTACCGATCTTGTTTCCCTGGATTTTTATAACTGTCAAGTTAAAAGACATATTATCTATTTAAAATAAACTTGAATGTATGTGATGTGTATGTCTGAGAACAGAGAGTCAAAAAGAGAAAGTAAACTGTTAAATATTTCCTGAACATTAATACCAGATAATGTTCTTGATACTGGACAAGATCAACATGAAAAAGAAAAGTACTTCTACATCTAAAGCACTTACTTTAAAGTACAGAGAACCTCACCCCTCAAATTCTTATTTCTGCCTTTTGGTGCACACAGGCTGGGTATACAGCAAGCATTTAATGAGTATCTGCTAAAATGATTTACACATCAATTTACAATTAACATATTTAGACATCCTTTTAAAGAGTCATACATAAAAATATAAATGCACCAAGTGACTGTGGAACTTTTTCTGATCTCTTCAACTGCCTGAACCTTAGTGCAAAGGGACCCTGTCACTTCTGACAAGAGGCAGGAAAAGGTACAGATTCTGCCTACGCGGCTCTGAGGGTGAATTCCAGAAGTTCAGGAGATAGTTCAAGAGAGAAGTCGCCCAA